GTTCCTTATCTCTTATCGTCACGTGACTTGTCCCATAGTTCTTCCGTCCCGAGAGGAGTCGCCCTGAGTTCGTGTTCCCGCATATATGGTGTGGTAGCCGCCGTAGGTCCTGTGGGGCAGGCCCTGGCCTTGTCATGCGTGTTGGGTCGTAACAGCTAATAAAGGTCCTTAACTTTATAAAAACGAACGATTTTTAATAACTTTATATTACTTATTTATAATACTTAGTAATAAAAAAATCTTCTTTATATAAACGAAAACGCTTATAAAAATATTTTTATATTTTCTTATATTATTCTAAATTATTTAGAATTCTAAGTATAAAAAGGAGTAAAATAAAATTATAATTTAAAAATCGTTAATAAGTATATAATAAAACTTAAAAGGAACTATCTCAGGCTTTTTATCCTTTTATAAAAATAAGCTTTATGATAATATATTATTTATTTAAACTTTTAAATATTACTAAATCTTTAATTAGAGCGTTCTAATAAGCTTTAATTTAGCTTATTAAGAATAATAAAAACCTAGGCTATTTTAATTATTAATAATTAACTATTATACTTAAATTTAATAATTTTTAAAATAATATATTATATAAATTAATATAAATTTCTATTTATAATTATATTAAAAATTATTTTTATAATAAAAGTATTTATAATAAAAATAAAAATAACCGTAATTAAAATAAGCTATAAAAAAGTAATATAATAATAAATAAAATAAGTTTAGTTTTAAAAAGTAATAGAGGGCTATAATAATTCTAATATACCTAAACTTAAGCTTCTACTTAAACTCATTTTACTATTATTAATAATAATTATAGGCTCGTACCCGGGCTATTTTTATTATTCTAACGTAAGAGGCTAGTAGCAGAGGGTATAATAGCGCAAGGGCTACGCCTTGTTTGGCAAGTCTGTCAGCTAATTCATTTCCAGGAATCCCAGTGTGCCCGGGCGGGGCTTTCGAGTATGCCGGAAGCACTTGCACTACTGTGGGACGTCTAACCTCTTGACATAGGTCGTTGCAACATATCAAGAACGAGAACACCCCAAACAGTTATCAGGAATCAATTTCCTGATCCAATCAGTCTGCCGAGATTGCGCGTCAGACCTACAAGAAGCTCTGGATTATTTTCAAACGAAGTACGGACCGTCTTTTAGTGGCCAGGAGCATCGACTGAACCCAAGGACCATCGGTAAAAAGATGGGATATGCTTTCAAAGAAAAGGAGCGACTTCAAAAGCTACGAGAAAAGCTATCATGGGCCACCCACAGTTTAACTCTTCTATTGGTCACTTACAATCGGTATAACATCCATATCCTTGCTTGCCACTTCTCAAATCTTAAGGAATCTAGTCGGTCCACACAATGGTACATATACTCACAAGACCTTGTAGCAATGCAGTTCGCGTCAACAATTCTACATTGGAGAAGCGATACCAAGAGGTGCTTTCAAAGGTGCAAGACATATCCGAAGATATCGAGCGACAGAATGTACGGCTTTCGGAACAGCATGCCAGTATCAAAGTCCTGATAACCACGTCGGCTACTGCGAGTGATCACTTGAAATCGAAAGCAACACAAGATCAGAAGTTGGTGCAGCAAATCAGCAACAATACTTCAAGTGTACAGGAACTCTCCGCCGTGGTTGAAACTACCATGAAGCTTCTCGTGGAGAAACGTGAGAATGAAATAAGCACAAGATCTTACAGTGGCCCAGGCCGAGCCTCCAAGTCTCACCTACTCTTTGAAGATCCATTTGGCTCCGTAATCGAGATTCCAATGGAGTGGATGTTTTGTTGGGAGGTAAATTTCAATCACTGAAAGGACCCAGAAGTTCAATGCTGACTAGACAAGCATTTCAAAATTGCGATCAATAATCGATTTGAGTATCAATTAGGCCATCAAAAGGTTCTTAGGGGCGAGTACGTATTGGAAGACGATATCAGCGGACAAGAAGTCACTTCATTAAGTCAAACCCCCCACTTCCCGGCATCCCCCTGTTTCTGGCACCCACAAAAACGCGAAAATCCACCACAACGCAATGCCCACCCCCAACCTCCTTTTATCACAACATTTTCAATTCGAGTCCAAATGGGCTCATTTTTTGCACATACCTTCTTCTATATCTAATGCCTCAATATACCGAAGATCAGCTTCGTCAGGCTCTCGAGGACATCTCAAACGGCAAGAGTCAAAAGAGAGCCTCATTGGAGTATGGGATACCACGATCAACCCTCCAACTACGTCTCCAAGGTGGTCAGACTAGGAAAGTGGCTTTTGCTGACTGGCAGAGGCTGTCTCCTGACCAGGAGAGGCTGGCACAATGGGTTCGCATTCAGGCTTCGCTGGGCCTCGCACCAACGCACCAACAGGTGAAGGAATTCGCAGAGCGAGTTCTGGCTGCTGCTGGGGATACCAAACCATTAGGAAAAGGCTGGATCTATGCCTTCGTGAGAAGGAACCCTATCATTAAGGTTCAGAGAAGTCGTTCCATCGATTCTAGACGCGTTAATGGGGCATCTACTGAGGTCATTAGGAACTGGTTTAAGTTCCTTGCTATCCCTGAGATCAAGGACATCAAACCAGCCAACAGATATAATATGGATGAGACTGGCATCCTCGAGGGTCAGGGAGCTAATGGGTTAGTGCTGGGCATGGCTGAGACGACGTCTGTTCGCAAGAAACAACCTGGGTCGAGGGCATGGGTCTCTATCATTGAGTGTATCTCAGCCTTGGGTAGGGCACTTCGTCCTCTTATCATTTTCAAGGGAAGACGGTCCAACAACAGTGGTTTCCATTACATCTGGTTCCATACGATGGGTGGGAGTTTACAGCAACAGATAATGGCTGGACTACAGACTTAACTGCCATTGAATGGTTAGAGAAGGTGTTTATCCCACAGACTATGCCCGAGGCTGAGGGCGAGGCTCGACTGTTGATTGTGGATGGGCATGGGAGTCATACGACGACAGACTTCATGTGGAATTGCTATATTAACAATATCCATTTACTGTTCTTACCACCACACTCCTCTCATGTCCTCCAGCCACTTGACCAGTCTGTCTTCAGCCCTGTTAAGTCAGCCTATCGGAAGGAGCTCGGTTACTTGTCTCAATGGAACGACTCTACCATTATAGGTAAAAGGAACTTCCTGGACTGTTACCAGAAGGCTCGACTTGCTGGTCTATCAGTCTCGAACATCAGAAGTGGTTGGAAGTGGACTGGTCTACACCCTGTAGCGATGGTTAAGCCCTGATGAACCCTATGGTATTACCTGAGCCTTCTGCTGCCCACCACACCCAAACCAACCAGTCGGGGCAAAAGCGATGCCATAATGGTCAACAAACTACCCCTGTTGAGCCATGGGATTCTGCTTCCTCTGCAGTGGTCTGGTCGACACCCAGGAAGCTGGCAGAGCTCAGCGGTCAACTGCACTTATACACCCAACTCGACAATGATACCAGCACTCAACGGCTGCTGTTCAGGAAGGTGAAAAAAGGCTTCACAGAGCAGGCCTGGCAACTGGCAGCTGCCCAGCAGCAGCTGGCTCACCTGAGGGCTCAAGTTACCAACGCTGCAGTTAGGAAGAGGAAGACTGTTCAGATCGATCCCAACACGAAGTTTGCGAACATCAGGGATATCCATCGGGCTCAAATCGAAGCGGGTGAAAAGGAGGTTATTACGGCTGAATCCAGCGACTCTGAATGCCCTAGTGAGGCTGGCAGTTGTATTGTAGTGGGTGTGGTTGAGGATCAATAGTTAATAGTAATGAGGAGGTTGGGTTGTGATCCCATCGTTTTTGTGGGTGCCAGAAACAGGGGGGTGCCAGGAAGTGGGGGGTTTGACTTACTGTCCCACATGTGTGTTGATGCGACGGATGCGTCCGGTCACATCCAATCACAATAGCCATTTTTCTTCTATGGAGATGAAGCAAGGGGTGATTTACCTTGGGGACTAGCTGATCGATCTGGAACCCATTCGACTGTCCAACTCCGTAAGTTCCCTGCAATGCGAACCATACTCTCCTCTTCCAGAGGACTATCGCCCCTATTACTAGTCAGCCTACCTTTTGTGAATGGTGCTACTAATCTCGTGGGTTCTCAACAAGTACCTTATCAAAAAGGCTGGCGCAGGTTTTAGATGTACACCATCCGCGGCTTCTTCTCCAAGACCAAGGAAAACCCCAGAAATCTTGAGATCGTAGAGAGTCAGGGCTGCGAGTCAGATGTCAGGATGACGAATTAGTGCGGTCTGGTGAGGAGGTCGGTTGCTCCGCCGTCTCGCTGCATAGTTGTTTGTCAAACACTGAGGTGTGTAGAGAGGCTTAAAGACTGACCTGAAGACAAAGGGATCAGAAGATTAAACAATATTAAGCTACTTAAGTTGCAACAGAGTAGCATGTTTGCCTCCTGCCCACTTGCCTGTTTACCACTCTCAACAAATATCCCTGTCAGAAGGAACGCCCCATCGACGCATCCCCCTCCTTTCCAGGCTGATAATGCTTTCCGGCCGAACTAAAAGTAAAGCTTCAGGCGGCAATCCTGACTCTGCCAAGATTCTCACCAACTTCTGCTCGTACGCCTTCGAGGATTCTTTTGTGCGACATTTTCGGCCGCCTCTTTCGTCCCCTGCAGAGCTCTACCACTGAGGATTAGCCGCCTCCGGCGAGTCCCTGGAACAATGAGCGCGGAAATCGAGGAAGTGATCCGGTCACGTCTTAACGCAGTGGAGGAAATAATGAACATCACCCATCAGCCTGCGTTGTCAATAGGTGTCATCCATCATGGGAAAGAACTTTTTAGACACAACTGGGGTATTATCAACCAAGAGACTGGCCAAACACCAAACAGCGGTACTCTGTACTGCATTGCATCTCTTTCGAAAGCCTTCGTTTCCGCCGCTGTAGACATTCTCGTCCAACGTCAGGAGCTGAGTTGGGATACTACAGTGGCCCAAGTTCTTCCAGGGTACAGTCGATATGATCACGATGCGATGCTTAATGGCATGACGCTGCGAGACATTTGCTCTCATCGGACCGGCCTATTTGGTCTTGACGAGATCATTCAAGGAATGGACGGGCGTATTCTCCTTCCAAAAAGCGAGGTTGTCAATATAGTCAACGCTCTACCAAAGAAGTTCGGATTCCGAACAGACTTCCATTACAACAACGCCCTATTCGAATTGGCCGGTGCAATAATCGAGCGGATTTCTGGATCCCAGACATGGGGACACTTCCTCAAGGAACAGCTATTCGACCCATTGGAGATGAAGCGGACAACGGCCTTCCGCAGCGTCCATAAGACTGACGACAACATTGCTACGCCATACATGTGTCTGACAGACGGCTCGCTGTGCAAGATAGAACCCACCGAGCTATCTGCGGATTCTATGAACGGCGGCTCTGGAGGACTGCGCAGCTCCGTGAATGATCTTCTCAAGTGGTGTTCCAGCCTGTTGGCATCATTTGATGAGAAAAGCACCGCCAGTCCCATTCGTTACAAATTACCAATCTTTGATCGTGCCAATATGGCCAATCCGAGCTCTGTTGAGGATGGCGACTACTGCACCGGGTGGTGCTATCATCAAACCCCCTCGAAACTGGGATTAATCTCCCCGAATCGAAGCCTGCTTTCACCAGTTCTCGGGACCAACTCTGAATCCCTACTCATCTACGGCCACCAAGGCGACGTTCCCGGGTATACGTGTTCCTTGTATCTTATCCCAAAGACACAGTCTGCTATTGTCGTCCTGTCCAACGGTACTGGCCTCTCTGACGCTACCGACTGGATTGCCCAGGACATCATCCAGGCGATGTACAGCCTGAAGCCAACCGTTGATTTTGTCTTCACTGCGCAACAGGCATCAATTCTCTACAAGACCAGGTTCAAGAGGCTGTTTCAATTGCCGCTCGAGGAACATAGAAAGATGGGGACGCCTACTCCGCCCTTGGACGACTTCACTGGGGAGTATGTAATGGAGAACCTGGACATCGCCACTCTCAACATCGAAGCTGGGCCCGAAGACTCATCAACTGGTCTTCGCATGAGTGTCAATGGTCTCGCGGATCAGGAATACCACTTGTGGCATTATCATGCGGACGTATGGTCTTACCTTCCGGAGAGCGCTGACCAATGTTTGAGACGAGGTCTCGACAGAAGTGACTGGACCTCGTACCTTATCTCATTTCAGAGGGATGCAAAAGGTCAAGTCGGGAAATTGTGCTGGACTATGTGTGGCGTGAGTGTGAACTTTTACAAAGGACAGTGAGATTATGAGTCTCGTTGATGGGTCATGGGTTTTAAGGATGTGACGAAAAGGAGACTTTGAGAGGGGTACCGTAAAGGCCGAGATTGCGTTGATTAAGTTCAATTGACGAGACAACCGCCCAAACCGGGATATCGATCTATAGCTTCTATACACAATTCTCGCCAGAACAACTCCTGTGACCCCCAAACGCCATCTAAACCGTCTACTATCCATTCCACTCAGATTACCAAGTCTAAATTCGAAGAACAGCAATGCCAGAGATAGTGCGGTTATCGTCAGAGAAGATCTTCTTCTTCTCAGATCCATCCACATTACAGCGGTAAATGCTGCCGCCAAGATCGCTGAAGTAAACATGTCCGTTCTCCTGGTCCAACTTGACACCGATCGCCTCATTGAGGTGTCTCACCAAAATCTCATACTTCTTGGACCCCTCAGACAGCAACAGCAATCCTGTCATAGGATCGATGTTGGCCCGGTTCAGGGTGTTGCCCTTGGGAATTTCTCCACGATCAGTCCAAAAAATAGTATGCGTCTCCTCATCAACCTCCAAGTCAATCGGCTCCGGCAAGTCGCCGAGGAAACACTCGATGTCGTCTCTTGTCTCAGCCGTCTTGCCCACCGGCATCTCAATGTTCACGCAGAAGATGCGGCCCTGTCCGGACTTGGGGGCGCCCTTCTGAGTCCAGTAGAACTTGCCCAGCTTCGGCGCGACGGAGATGCCGACGCACCACGTCTTCAAATCTGAGGCGTCGTTGCCGGCGATGATGAGAGTCTCGAGGTCGCTTCCGTCGAGGTTGGAGCGGTAGACTTTCATACCCTCGCGGTCGCAGAAGTAAATCTTCTTGGAGGCCGGTTCGATGATGAGTTGCTTAGGCGTGTTGATGGTACCGGGCTCGAAGAGGGACTTGACATCTGTGCCGTCGAGGTTTGAAGAGAGGACGGCGCCGTCTTGCTTGCCTGGTGTGCCCATGCAGGTCCAGATCATGCGCTGGGTGTCGTTGGCGTCAATGTCGATGCCGTCGGGGACGTGTTGCCGGTCGACGAGGACGCGCTCTAGCTTGCCCTCTGATGAGAGTTGGAGAACCTGTCCGGAGGCTGAAGCGTCGTTTTCGTTCGCCAAGCCGAGATCGAGGGCGACGATCTTGGGGAGATGGGGGTAAAGACCGCCCTTCGATGACTTGTTGCCGAGACGGCCCTTGGAAATGTACTCGCGTTGCAGGAAGTCGACTGTGTTCTCGGGAGACAGGCCGCGCTCCTTGACGTAGTGGTCTTCAATGAAGGCGACAGTGTCGAGACCAACCTCTGTTGTTTCATTAGTCACTCGATCTGTGTCAGACAGATTGATGAATGTTGCACTTACCGTCCATCATCGTGCAAGGACCCTTGCCGTGCTTGCTGAGCTCGTAAAACAAGGTATCAATCTCCTCGGGGCTCGACACGCCTTCAGCGAGAATCGACAATGTCTCTCTCTTAATCGCAGCCCACAACCGGTTGAACACAAAGCCGGTAGACTCCTTGCGCGCAGTAAACGGCCTAGTTCCAACCTCCTTCTGCCTCTCCGTCATGAAGGGGAAGATCTCCGGGTTCGTGAAGCCGTCCGTCATCAGCTCGACGACCATGTTGTGCGGGGGCATGTAGTAATGCGTGTTCATGATGCGCGTCTTGGTCTCATCCCTCACTTTGCCGAGCATTTCTGAAGATCTGTACGAGGAGGAGTTGCTGGCGAGGATGGCGTCTGCGGGCGCGTGAGCCTCCAAGTCAGCAAAGGTGTCTGTCTTGATTTGGATCCGCTCAGGGACGGCTTCGATTACGAGCCAGGCGTTCGCGACTGCAGTTTCGAGGTCGGTAAAGACTTGGACGGTTCCGGGGCGCTTGCGACCTGATGCTGGGTATGTGTCTACATTTTGCTTGACGTAGTCCAGGCAGGGCTGATGTTGCTTAGCGTCGGGTTCGCGGACCTGGACGTTGTAGCCGCCGGATGCCCATGTGCAGGCTGGTTTGGTATGTTAGGTTACTGATCAAATGGCATGGTTAGATGTAAATCGAACTCACCGATGCGACGGCCAAGTACGCCGCCTCCCAGCACAGCAACCGGGCGGTCGCCGTAGTTTGATGGTAGTGAAGTCATTGATGTGTTGGAAATGTGAGAGTTGAGAATTAAAGTGATAGTTCAGGGTCTAATGATGTAAGATCTACAGTGCAGAATGACACCTCAGAAAAGCCAAGACGGCAGATGAACTTATATATGCATCGAAGACGGGGCTGCAGATCAGTCTAGAAGCTAGAGAAAGCTTCCGTCAAACATTTTGGCGGAGCACATCGTCATTCCCCTGAGCGCTCGCAAGTCGCCGAGGTTGCCGGAGACCCGTCAAGTCGGTCATCGTGGGTCCCGATAACGAGCCTGCAATCCTTAGTAAGTGGACTTGAGCGGTCTGGTTTGGTGGCGCGAAGCGAATAGCAGAGGGACAAACGCATTGACGGCTGTGGGTATGACGCAAGTTTCGATGATGGGCCTTGGACTATGAATCGGGTTTCGGTGCCGATCGCGGGTCGGTGTCGCCGGTACAGAATCCACTTTAATATTGAAAACGTTGATTTGGCAGCCAAAAGGCACGTTGAGGTGTCGAGCACAACCTGAATGATGATGGGACCAAGCTATAATAAGAACAAGTTCAATTCCGTCTTATCATAATGAGCGCGAAACAGCGAGATAGTGAGCTGCTTTACGAGCAGACGCTACCTTTGGTTTGGGAAAAAGAGCTACATCTCAAATCCGTCACCTCGGCACTTGGTGGGGCGGGCCCGTTCTTTTGGTTCCGGCCTCGGCACCCGCGAGCTTGTAAAGTGGACCCGTCAGCTCCCGGCCTCGGCAATTCCAAGAATATCTGTCAGGGTCCGCGTCGGTCTCGCTCTGGACGGAAGGGGTCTCTCTGAAAGTGCCGTGCGACGTGGGGGCAGTTTGAATTATTTCCGATCAGGTGCGGCCCTTATTCCGTTGCTTGTGGTCTGTCCCGATTCGAAATACATCCCTATCCTCCCCGGATTCCGTTTACTTTGGTGTTCAGCAGCATTTCTGCTTTTGACCTCCACACGGCTTGCCTTCGAATAGACTCAAGACACAGGGAACCTACCTCAGGCGAAGTCATGGTCATCTTGAGCTGTGCAAAGCAATGGCCTAGACTTCGAATCACGATCGCCCAATCTTAGCTGCTCGTCAAGACATTTCCACCAACCGCAAAAAATCATCATGAATCCACTTTTCAACGAAGGGCTCAATAAGGAACTCTTGATTTTCACTATAGCGTCATCTTCTGTAGTCAGTGAATACAACATCTCAACCATTTTCCGCACGCTTTAATACTCTCAGACTTGCTCATCGTCGTCCTTCGCAATAGGTCCCTTGGTGATGGATCCAGTCTCCCCCGCCTCAGCATTGAGCACACGCCGCTTTTCTTCCCTATGCGTGAGCAGGGTGAGCCCACTGGTCCAGACAATCAAGGCAATCGAGCTGGCGATCATGGCCCACATGCCCCTCTGCAGACCCAAATATCAGCACACGTTTCATTCCCAACAGTATGGTTCTCGAACCCTCACCGGGCAGAAAAAACAGGAGGGCTACTTACGGTAAACCACGGTGCCATTGAAGCGCCGTAGAAGATGATGCTCCACCACGCGTTGACGGCGTTACTGCCCAGATTCATACCCGCGAGAACGACGCCGCGGAAGATGCCCTCCTCGTACCTCATCGCATCATTACACCACGCGAAGAACGTGGCCTGGCACGCATACACAGCACCAGCCCAGTAGTACGCGCCAAACACGACCGATGTTGACGCAGCGCTAGTTGGGTCTCTAGCAGCAACGAGAACCATCGCAGAAGTTGCCACGCCAGTGATGCCGATAAAGTATGCGACAAGGTACCGCTTCCCACCTAGGAAATCCGTCAAAGTCGCCCAGAAGAGCGTCGAGACGATGCCAACAGCGGGTACGCCGGTGGGATAGTTGTTGAGCTGGGCGACAGTGTACTTATGCGTCGGGTGGCTCTTCATGTACAGACCCAACAGGGAATTCGTGCTAAATGACTCTGTCTCGCCGGCAATGATCCAGAGCATGACGAAACCCCACCAGTACCAGGACGTGAGCACCTTCTTCGCGAAGCGGAACGTCAGCGGCGAACGCTCCTGGATCTCGGGCACGCGGGACCTCGCCAGGACCTTCTCCTCTTCCGTGAAGTAGAAGGCCGTTGTGGTGTGGGGCGTATCGGGGAAGCACACGAAGCCGTAGATGGCGACGGGCACAGTCATCAGTCCGTCAATGATGAAGAGCCAGCGCCAGCCGGAGAGGCCGTGCAGACCGTTCATGCTGCTGTGAATGCCCGTTTGGATGAAACCGCCGAAGAAGGTGCCTGCGAGGCCGGAGGCCGTGAAGATGCCGCTGCGCTTGCCGAGCTCGCGCTCAGTGTACCACGCGCCGAGGATGTAGTGCGTTCCGACAAAGGTTGAGGCCTCTGCTATGCCTTGGAAGAAGCGGATGGCCATGATGGATTGTGGGCTGTGAACGCTGGCGGTGCACATTGTCAGGCCGCCCCAGATGATCATCATGAGAGGGAACCAGATGCGCGGTTTGACGTAGTGGAGGGACAGGTTGGATGGGATTTGTCCGATAACGTAGCTGGGTGGGTTGTTAGTCGTTGTTAAGGAGGTGCAGTCTGATGACAAGCTCTTGACTTACCCGACTGTGAAGCATGTGTTGATCTCGTTGAGCTGATTCCCCACGAACCCCAACTCCTCCTTCATGCCGGATACGTATGCATTGTTCAGATTGGTACGATCAAGCTAGGAGGATATGTTAGAACCTTGCTGCCCATCATGATCAACAGGTAAAACCTGCGAAGAGATATTGACTCACGTAGTTGACCAGGTAACTCAAGCAACAAAAGGTCAAGATGAAGAAGTCAATCTTGGAAACGAGCTTCTTCTCACCCGGTTGATACTGCACGTTCAGATATTGACGGACTTTCTCGAAAGCCATGTTGGGCGATGGGTTCGGCAAGGGATACCGCAAACAAACAAGCCTCTGTTGAATCGGCAAATCAACTTATGGAGTGCCAATTGATGGATGGCGGTAACAAGTTGACCAGCCCAAGCACACCGTTCACCGTGGCAGATGCACCTGAACCCTGACCGACGTGAAGGTCTTATGAGAATTGCAACCATAAGCCGTTTGCACCCTGTTGCTAGCTGTCTCCAAGTTGTCAAGAGTCAAGCTCGACACTTATCGCGGGCCGGTATCTCCCAAGAGATAAGGAATATGGTCACAGGAATAAAGAGCAGGGGTCTTGCGATAGGGCTGGCGTTGTTTTCCCCCGTACGGTAATCGAGACCGGGGGATAATCAGCGTCACAGGAACCGTTTAGGCGTTCTTTGACATCCTCTTTGAGTATAGTTTCTTATCTCAATGGCTGTCGCCGTGTAGGCGATCGGTGTTTACCCGACTCAGTTGAGCTATTGTCGGCTCCCCGTGTTGGTCGGCTCTTGTCGCAAAGCGTTGTGATTCGATATTCCTGTTGCACTGTGAGCAACCAAGGTGCCGTTATCAAATGCTGGAGATCGTAGGCACCCCGCAACGAACCAGAATGGAACGATAAGCTCAGGGCTCTCCCCGGAGACGTCGTCCGATGGTTGTCCGAGAGGGTTAGCGAGAAGCTAGGGAGATGCCCTTCAGCCTCTTCAAACACGCCGGATACGCTCTGGACGTGGTCGCGATAGTTCAGACGCGGCGATGGGGTGTAGCGTAGTGCTTCAAGTCTTGATGGCGAGCGTTTGCGATGGCGACCGTAGAATTGAACGCGACGATGGGAAGGCTCGGCGATATCGATTTGAGAGAATTTTAGGTAGGGCTAAGGCTCTTTTAGACGCGTCCCACTTTGCTAGAGCGCGTTCTCAATTGACTTTCGAATACTTGGTGAAGAGGTTTTCTAGAATTGAACTACACCATCTCATTCGTAAACTCATTGAGCATCTACGGTCATACATGTACTATACGTAGGTTTTACCAGTGCTGCGGGAAAAGGAACCCGGCAGCGACCCTCACGGTCACATGGCGGCGTTTATTCCGGTGCGACAGCGGAGCTAATTCATTAGGTTCAATCTGAAGACACTGGCTGTCTGCGTCATGGACCATAATGAGTAGCACCGGAATTGCCCTCCCGCGTTACACAGAGCGTTAGCTTCATTGAGATCACCATTGTTGGCGGTTTCTTTGCTTGATCGTAGAGAGCTGGCACGCGCGGGGAGGACGACTTAGCGTCCTTTCCAAGACTAGGGGGCAGTCCACACTCCAGCATTGCCCCTCCATGAACGTGCTTTGAAGGATGTCTTTACCCATGGGGCCGTAGGTACTGGAAAAGTCCCCGCTTCTATGCAGTAGAGCTCATCGAAACGAGTTGACTTTGTACAGGCCTGACAGCCTGTGTTCAAGCTTATCAAGGTGAATTGAGTTGGTGGTCGAGGTCTCCGCACGACGTCTCAACATGAATGTTCCCCGGCTGTCTTATCTGTCGCGTCAACTGGCCCCTCGCAACACCACAGTTCCCGCGGATCCGAACTGACACTGTAACCCGTCACTTTGGTCTGTCTCCTCAGATCTCGGGCGATGCGCCCCGAATCAAATCACCGATGACCGGTGCGGCGCGGGGCGGTTTGTTCGCGCCATATCGCTCCTAGACTACGAATGTAGTAATACTTAGGCCACCAGTAGCCGTTGCTGGTTTTATTTAACAGTTCCGGAGCCGGGCTTGGTGTGTTTAAACTCAACTCGTGAAGAGGCTATCGTTTTCCCTGACCACCTAAATATCTTATCGGTCGCGAACCAAGGAGACATCCTCATACGCAACATTCAAGCTGATTATCTCAGCCAATAACTATTTTACTATGGGTAGCATCAAGACCGAGACATGGGAGTTGGCAGCCGCCAAGAAACGAGAGTCACTCGCGGCGTCACTCCCCTCAGAATGGCTGGTTCCCAAGAACCTACTTCCGCCGGATTCTCAAGACGATGTCACATCGTGGCCGGAGACTTCGGGCTGGTTCACGGAGAAAGAGCTCGCCATCACGAACAGCGACGCCGCCGATCTGATCCCCAAGCTCGCATCCGGAGAACTCAAGTCGTTAGAGGTCACAAAAGCATTCTGCAAGAAGGCCGTTGCCGCCCATCAGTTGGTGAGTACCCCTCTCCTCTCCTCCGCCCAACTCCCTTCACTTGCAGGTGGGCTCTTCACTCACAAGTAAATCAGACAAACTGCCTCTCAGAAACGTGTTTCGACCGCGCACTTGCAACAGCAAAAGCCAGAGATGAGTACCTCGAGCGCACCGGAAAGCCCATCGGGCCCTTCCACGGCCTGCCCATCTCACTCAAAGACAACTTCAATCTCAAGGGGCTTGATGCCACCGTAGGCTTCGTTTCTCACATCGACAACCCCGCCGAGTACGACGCTGCCCTCGCCACGCTGCTGGAGGAGGCCGGCGCCGTATTTTACGTCAAGACGAACGTGCCGACGGCGATGATGATTGCGGAATCGGTCAATAATGTCTTTGGCCGAACGGTGAACCCCAGAAACAGGAATCTTACCAGCGGTGGGAGCTCCGGTGGAGAGTCTGCACTTATCTCGTTCAAGGGCAGCCCGCTTGGTGTCGGAACGGATATCGGTAAGTCTTAGATCACTCCAATTCTGGTTGTTGCTTGAGCGAAGGTCAGACGCTGATTCTCTCATTCGTGAAGGCGGTTCTCTCCGCATTCCCGCCGCTTGCACCGGCATCTTCACCCTCCGGCCATCTTTCGGCCGCTTCCCTACCCTAGGTTGCCGCTCCGGCATGGGCGGCCAGGAAGCCGTGCAATCTGTCAACGGCCCCATGACCCGAACCATTACCGACCTCGAACTCTACAGCAAAACCGTCGTCAACCAAAAGACCTGGCTCCACGACCCGCGCTGCGTCCCGATCCCGTGGCGCGAGGTGCAACTCCCTTCGAAGCTGAAGATTGCAGTAATGTGGAACGACGGCATGGTCAGGCCCACACCGCCCGTCACCCGCGCGCTCAAGGCGACTGTCGAGAAGCTGAAGGCCGCTGGTAGCGATATCGAGATTGTCGACTGGGAGCCTGTCGACCACAGGCAGGGACTGACTCTGCTGGAGCGCATGTTTGTCGCTGATGGCGGTATCTCCATTCAGAAAGAGCTCGAGAAGTCGGGAGAACCACTCAGGCCTGAGATGGCGGCGTACGGAACCGCAAAGGAGCTCGGGACGTACGATATGTGGCAGCTTCACCTTGAACGCACCGCGTTCCAGAAACGGTATCTCGATCGGTGGAACGCGGCGGGCATCGATGCGATTCTGTGCCCTACGACGCCGTTTGCGAGTGTGAAGAGCGGTGGTTTCAAGCATGGTGAGTTCGAAGATCATGACCACCTCTTTGACTTGTCTTGAGGAGCTGTGCTAATCCATGAACTTACAGTTGGATACACGGGTGTCTACAATGTCCTCGACTACTCTTGCGTTTCCTTCCCGACTGGCTTGACAGCAGACCAAAGCTTGGACACGCCTCTCGACTCTACGGAGAAGCCACTCAGCAAAGACTGCGAGGCTATCCACGCCGAATGTAAGTCATGTTTGATTTGTTATAATCAAGGACCAACATGGCTAATGTTTTCTACTCAGATGATGCCGCGACAGTACATGGCATGCCCATCAGCCTTCAATTGGTTGCTCGGCGGCTGGAAGAGGAGAAGGCGATAGCCATGGTCAAACATGTTCTTAGCGTGATCTGAGACTATTCAGCAAGCCACGAATAGATGTATTTTCTAAATATCAAGAACTATGTGGACTCTAAGCTGAAGTCCACATGAACCAAGAGATATTCTAGCGAGGAGAATAACTTCCCTCTCAAGTATCATGACATACCGTCTAACGTCTATTATTCATGCGTCCATGCGATTCTAATCTTCATAAATCTTTGACAACCCTTATTTCACCGCGTAGCTGACCTTTGACTTCCCTTTACTCCTTGAAATCTTCTTCACGACAGTTTCCCCGCACAAATCTGTCGTGTCGACGTGCGTACCACCGCAAGGGTACACCTCGGCGCCCACAATCTCCACAACTCGGAACTTCTCCCCGGGCGGCGCAAGACTCCGGTCCGGAATCAATCTCTCGAGCCCCCGCGCCCGAAAATCGTCCTCGTCCCAGAAATCGACCTTGACCGGCATCCTGGCCGCCAAGAACTCATCTACCTTGCCCTGGATCGGCTCCTTCCACTTCCCATCAATGAGGCCCTGAAACTCGCATGATGCCGAGTCCGGGAAATGCGACGCCTTGAGCTCGTCGAAGCCCTCGACTTCCTTCTCGAGGAGGTGCCGCACCGCTGCGCCGAGGACGTGTCCTGCTGTATGAAGGCGGGAGTACAGCAGCCTCTTCTCGACGTCGATGGCTTGCTCTACTTCGTCGCCCTCTTTGAATATCGCGTCGCCGTTGAAGCGTCCGAAATGCAGTACCTGGCCGTCGCGTACGGCGTCCATGCGTACAGAGTTGACGGCGAAGGAGGAGCCTGCGGTGGCGGTCATGGAGCCGACGTCGGAGGGCTGGCCGCCGCCTTGGGGGTGGAAGATTGTTTGTTCCGTTACGACTACGTGATCTTGGTCGCTTCCATCTTTAAAGAGGCCGCGGTTGGCTTCTTCGAGGTCTGCAAAGGGGCGGATGGCGGTGACGATGGTCTTGAGGGTGGTGAGTTTCGCGTTGTGCTGGAAGGCCAGGTATGTTCTGGCTGCTGCTGTCGATGCCATCGTTGTGTCTGTGTCTGTATATATGTATGAATCCTTTCTGTTCTGATGGCGATCTGGAAATGGAATTCTATGAGACAATTTCAATGTCTGGATAAGCGCCTATGATAGCTCTATAAGACTGGTGAGTAGTTGCGATGTCCCTTCTTCTTGGCTGTTCTAACCGGTTCTAAGGCCGGCGGGTTGACATGAAGGGCGCGCGAGTGATGATGAAATGTGGTCCGAAATGCACTTTGGTAACATCAGATGGGGCCTCGGAGCGGCGCGTGCGCGCTCTCTCAAAGAGATTGACAGGGATTGGTTTTCTCGCCCCCCTAAGAGGGGCTTTAAGAGCCGCCGTCCACTTAACCTCTCTAAATATTGAGCCAGGTTATCAACTGATTGTAGAACAAGTAGAGCCAACACAAGCTTTGCTGATGAGAAGTGGACGAGAAAACTAGGCACGCCTTGTGCTCAAATTCCAGAATGACGGTCGCATGGTTCTTTCTTCGTACATCTTCGGCGGTCGCCGCACCCACGCAGGAAGACGATAGAGATAGTGGCGAAGCACCCTATTCTTGCGTCCGGTTGCTCACCTTTGGGTTGCTGATTTAGAGTGATGAGATGAGACTTGGGTGTTTTCAGCGTAGGCGGGGTGAGCAGCAGTCTGATTTTGCCCTGGGAAACGCCTTGACAGCTCAGGCCCCTTGACAACCTACTTACGCGTGATGCCCACTGAACAATCGCATCAACTAAGCCATGCTAGAATCAGGTAATCAAGAACAAAGCCTAGGTATCTCAAAACGTCTCTTTTGTGAGTGAAAGCTATGCGCTGTGAGAGAAAATTTATATATGACTGTAGCTAATACTTTCAGGAATCCTGTCCTGCACGTAGATATTGGAGCATTCCAAATGTAGTTCGGCGCGTTCATAGCATCTGGCCCGCATGAAGGCGGACCGATCGTAGAGGATTGCGACAACACTTCGTTTGCTACAAAAACTATCTCAAAAAACCTCTTGATCACATATTTCCCTGAGAATTGAGTGAAACATTGACAATTCGAACTTCCAGCCTGTTACAATCCGTATACTTGTTGTTGGTTCAAACCATTCTTAAGCTACTCAGCCATGATGATTGCCTCCTTTCGAAGCCTTCGAGGCCTTAGATGCCTTCGAATTGGCGGATTCGACTGAATGCCATGAGCTGAGGGAATTCTTGCCGTTTTGACCTATGTCGCCTCTGTCCTGACGCAGGTGATTCAAATCGTGCTGATAGTCATCCTCTTTACTATTGACTTCGCCTCTTGATGCCCTTGAGCCTGGGAGATTTGGCGCGTTCCGCTGCTTTTCTTTTAGCTCCTTGCTCTGTTGGGAGCGGTGAGAGTCTAAGGAGTTCTGGCAATTTCTACCACATTTATTGGCATTGGCTTTGTCAAGGTTGTTGATGTATTTTGCGTCGTCTGGCCGTAGTTGATCTCTATGAAACTTCTTGTCGTCGGCCTTTACTTCAGCTTTCGTCGGCTTCTTATTTGCTCTTGGGACGATTGAGAAATCATTATTGGGAGAGACGTGAGCGATCTCCTTGTCATAGTGTTGATTGGACATCCCAGCATCTTCGGGGTCTAAGCCGAGGGCATCAACCACAGCCTCATCCCTAATTTGAAGGTCTGGCTGATCTGTGACTAAGATATCAGAATCAGTTGAAAAGGTCTTAGGCTAGGAACTTGAGGCTTTTTCAACTTTACCTTCTTCCCCTACTTTGATTTTGATATTGTTCGTGTGCATGCCATTTCTGAATGATGGCGCCGAGTCGTAGGAGAGATCGGGGGAGACTACAATGGGATGTGCGGCTACAGAGGCTGCAAGGGTCTCCAAGAGGACGATAATAACGAAGTACATGTTGTGGAACTGGCCTTCACCTGGTCGTAAGATAAGAATGTAAGGCAGTGGGGTGCTAAAGATGACTTGCAGAGATAAAGGATCAACACGATGTCTTCAAGCGGGCTTAATGCTGCTTAAATTTGTTTCGCAGAACATTGTCTCAGATTGGGAAAGATAGCTTTCACTTGTGGCATGACTCGCTCTCATTCGAACGTGGAAAGTATCGACTCAGAGAACAGTTAGACATCCGGTTAAGATTTATATTAGCGCAGATATTGAGTTAAGCTAGAGCTTTTGTGTTGTTCCTTACATAGTAGATAGAGTTAAGCAAGAGAAGTGAGGCTAACATGCGGCATTTTTAAGGAGCAAAACTTGCTGAACTCGAATTATTAGCATGGAAACTAGTTTTCTGGCAAGCTTTCAGGGCAATTGTGGTTGCGAGGCTGGTCTGCCCTTTTCGGGGTCGAAGCCTTGAGGGATGAGCTGGTTGAGAAATCCATAGAAGTTGAGATAGGCAAATTACCCCTCTCCAACCCATTGTCCACCAATGATCCTCGTGAACTCAATTCTTCGCAGTACGCGTACGTCCCTAAGCAGTCGGCACCTTAGAACTCAACCAGATCCCTACCCTCACTCCGCGCGCCATCAATACCATCACAGACGAGCGAAGACACACCGCGTGAAGTGTGACGCGGCCGGCAACTTTGTAAGTGGCCAGGTAATGAGCCGATAAATCGCACTGTGTGCTCCCCGATGATGACTTGGAGCTTGGGTGTCACTGAGGCGGGGTGATGGATGTACTGGGAAGGGCCCGCGCTTAAATCTGTGATTTGAACCTCATACCTTACTTTCACCAACCCGCAGATAGGGAAGGGATAAACTTATGCCTGTATGCAGAATCGTAAGTGCATTTGGCACCCTTCATCGGCCGTTCAGAACCGGCCGTCAAAGACCCAGATCAGTGTTTAGGCTCAAACCCTTATTTTAAGCCTCACAAGCCATATGATCTTAGCTGTGAGCGTATGATTCTTGCATGATGCTGAGTTCACGCGCACTTGTGCGGAAATGGCCCTAACAATGGGTGCTTCCCAAATACTGCATTCCCAATGTATGCACCTAGCAAGGCCTCTAGAGCCCAGATGTCGCTGGTTCAATTCCAGTTACCGGCACACAAAATCCTTGTCTCATGAATCTGGGGCCTGTAACGACCACCCTGATCGCACGATCTAAGGGAGGCCGAAAACCTGGCTGCAGCTTAATATCAGAGTGGCAGAAAGGTTGAGACGATCATGATGCTGATAGCCCATACCAACACTGCTATTGAAGAATCCGACATGATTGTTATGTTGACCACATTTGCAACATGATCACCAAGCGACACCATCTTACCACGGTGGGACCTTACGCGGACTAAATTCAACGGCAAGCTCACCGTAGTACTGGCAGCAGCATACCTTACGCAGAGCAGTAAACACCAGAAACGCGGGAGCGGTTGATATAAACCCTGAGGAAGACCAGAGATTTTGCTAAAGCGCCTAGTCCCGTCGGGGAGGAGAAAAGAGAAAGTTTCGGGCATTAAATGACTTGAATCCGATCTAACGGTACAGGGTTGCTTGAAGACCCTGTCAAAGGCGGGCCTTAATCACTTTTGCTGGTGGACGTGACACAGCTGACCCGGCTTTGGTGTCCAATTTCCAGTCTTGGCCTCGCTAATAGCAGCCACTGGGATGTTCTCAGTCAGCTTGAACTCCTCGATTATCAACGGCTTCATATCTCCATGGAGTGACCCATGAATGGATGTTGAGCCAGGATAAACCAGGAAGCAGATCATAATGGCCATACGCTGTTGATCGAGCCAAGAATTGCCGTGGAGGCTGAGAGACAGGTTCCTTCGAGATTTGTGACCCCCTCCGGAGGAAGAGAAAGACATGTTCCGCCGATAGGCCCATGTAAATGCTTTCAAATTCCACATCATTGAATCGCTTAACGCCCGAGTGACGTATGATTCGGATTCGCGGAAAGGCGCGGGCTTGGCTATGCGAGTACAATCGAAAGAGGAAATAGAATCTCAAACTACATGTATGTCTTAGCATGCGGAACTCATAACAAGATCAGATTGATGCTTCCGATGCTGAGAGTGGTCCTGTATTCCGTTCCACAATACTTGTGGCCAACTTGTCATCGGCACGGGCCGAGTACAGCATTTGTTCCACCACCCAGGAAGTGGCTCATGAATCAAGGGACGAACGCCCTGAGTACATATACTGCAGAGGATACCCTGACAGACTATTCATCACTATTGCCAGAAATCCCACAGGCACGTTTAACGCAAGAAAACAGCCGGCAGAATGTCACAAGCCAAGCGGACGGTACAATCAGATAAAGGTAATGTTTTCTTCCCAAGCATTGAGTCTCACCAACGTTGACATTTCTCAAGTCTGGGCTAGTCTCATCACAAACACGAGTTACCTTCCCGGGCTTCTGACATTACATCATGCCCTCCTGGCCTCAAATACAAAGTACCCCTTCATCGCTCTTCACACAGACTGCTTTCCCGAGGAGGGCCGCGCCGCCATTGCTGCCAGGGGGATACCCCTCCAACGGGTTCCACGACTAAGCCCTTCGAACACAAGAGACTACTCAAGCGAGCCACGTTTTGAAGACACATGGACCAAACTGACCGTCTTCTCTCTCACCGCGTATAGCCGAGTCGTCCTCTTAGACTGCGACATGCTCGTGCGCAAGAACATGGACGAGTTGATGCTGCTGCCACTGAATCCCGCCGGCACCACCATCACTACCGGAACAAAGGTCTTCGCTGCCGGTCACGCGTGCACCTGCAACCCTCTTAAGAAGCCTCACTATCCGGCGAGCTGGGTCCCGGCCAATTGTCCGTTTACATCTCACCACACCGACCCCGATGCAGCCCAGACCAACGGCAAGGATCTCACTCAGCAGCCACTTGGGCTCCTGAACAGCGGTCTTCTCGTCGTAGTCCCCTCTGAAGACCAGTACGAGGCGATAGTAGACTGTGTCAAGAGCGCACCTGCAGAGTGGGTATTCCCTGATCAGGACCTCCTCGCCAATTTGTTTCGTGGACGATGGGTGGGGTTGCCGTACGTTTACAACGCACTAAAGACTCTGAGATGGAACGGCGTGCACGATGCTATTTGGAGGGATGAGGAGGTCAAGAACATTCACTACATCCTTAGCCCCAAACCTTGGGCTGATCATGAAGGTGATACATCGGACCACGACGAGTCTCATCAGTGGTGGTGGGCGGCGGACAGGAAGCGCAGGGCACGGGAGGACGCTGATGGGATCTCTGATGGGTATTGAAACATGCCACAGAATAACCAATTGGAGTTTTTGCATATGCCATTGACAATAGGTCGTCATTATAATTATTTGCAAATCTGTCAAGCTTCGGATGGTATTGTTACGCAACCGAATACCTGTGCACCCGAAACACAGACGAATAAGAGCAAGTATGTGAAGACGCTAGGAAACTACATTCCTTGTAAGTGAACAGCATCTGATTTTGTTCCACAGACATCAGTAGCATTGATAAATAGATGATCCCCAGGTGGTTTTATTGTTTGCTTAGTGAGCCAAGGTGCGATGGCCCTATTTGTTTATATGTTGTACACCTGAGTCAACAATCTCTGTTTCTCTAGGTACTTAAGAGGAGAAAAGTGTCTACTACTGTAGCTTGCCTGACTTATCGTAAGTCCTTTGGTTGGGTGCCGCAGTTTTCACATCATATGCCCAAGGTGTGTTGTGGGTTGCTGGGTTTGAGTTAGATATTTACTTAGCCAAGCACTTGCTAATTACTGGCTTTCTTGATCGCACGTATGATAACTACCCCTATTACTTGGGTAGGCTCTAACGTTCCTAGTCGCAAAACTGCCGTAATTTTGACAAGTTGTCCTCTATGTGAAATTGGCCTAGCGCACGCCAAGCCATATCTTGTCGCTGTGAGCTTAAAGGTCTTGTCCGTAGCTTTCGCCAGCTCCATCGGTGTTGTTATTGGATCAACTGTATCTCCTAGTCTAAACGCGCGGCCGGACTTCGACCGATCGTTGCTGAACACAGCCAGATTTGCCAATGCCAGACGCAGCCAAGCCAAGGCTGGTACCGTATACTTGGGAGGCTGCTGCGTTGGAGACCATTCGGAGTTGGGTATGCATGTATTTCGTATTCTGCATGGAAGCCTAAAAGTCAATGGAAGATTCAGACGATGATGATCAGTATCGACTTGGATGCTATGGTGACGAGAGAGCACGAGAAGCTTTGCGGGCTAGGAGAGCGGGACCGAAGAAAGTTTAAGGAGGTCGTTGCCAGAGCTGCTGGCTTCTATTGATGCGGTAGTAATCGATTGTAATAACCTGGAAATACCTTAAGCATAAGTGAATACAAGTGGGTTTCTGTGAATATCTGAAAAATAAACTCCTCTATCCTGTGAACTCCGGAATGGAGTATTGATCACACCGGTAGGTATTTCTGAATAGTAAAGCTGAGTGGCGCTCGTGATAAAATAAAGAAATTAGCCTGAAATCAACAAGGTGTTACATAGCAAAGATGGTGTCAGGCGATGGCATTCCTCTGTTGCCACACAACAACCATGATCTTTGCTTCAATACCAGAGAATCCATGTGATTTTCACTTGCCGCTGTCGGGGTTTATGATGGTTGAAATATTGTCGGTCTGAAATTCTTCACCCCATACACCCCTACGTTGCTGACTCAGAGGGGTCGTCCAAATTGGGCTTGTGAGTGGTTGCGGCAAAGTTTTTATGCGCCATATCAACCGCCAAGACCAAAAGAAGCGAGGCTTTTCCCGCCTTCAAACGATCGATACTGGATGTTAAATGCATCCGTTAGTCGATGTGAGTGTAATGTAGCATACACTAGGTTCTTACATCGGGTGGATTTAAGCTTCATCTCCGCTGGCTGTCAGCAATGCCGCCGGAAGAACTACCTACAGTCGGTCTCGGTTTGACAGAAGCTTCAAGCACG